TGTGTGTGTGTGTGTGTGTGTGTGTGTGTAGTGGAATTGGCAGGGCAAGAATGTAACACAGAGGGCAAGGAACAATTAACAGTTAATGAATTAATTAATGTCATTGAGCATGGAATTGACAGCCATCCCTTTTTGGCTCTGTTTGCCCTATGATACTGTGGGGCAGCCAGTCCTCCAGGCCTTCCCTAGTGCACTGCTTCAGCCTAAATCCTGGCTTCTCTTGGACTCTGTGGTGATTCTGGCCCTGACCACAAAACTACTGCCCAGAGATGACAAGCTTCAGATGGCCACCCCCACCTATTAATTGCCCTGCATGGTAACTTGCTTACCCTCACAGCCAAGAGGTATCAGAGTCCACATCCACTGAACCAACCATAAACATCACTAATTAACTACATTCACCTAACGATTTGGCTATCAGGTAGGTTAGCAGACCTATCCACCGCCCCCAAGGCAAGCTTGGATTTCTACACCCCCATATACTCCTTCCTCTGTAGCCCCTCAATCCAAGTGCAGCAGCAACTGGACCATGGAAGTAATGGATCTCACTGCCATCTGGGGTGAGATGGTAATCCAGTGGGTACTCTGATCAAGCCACCAAAACAAGGCAGTCTAATGTATCATGAAGGAAGGAAATGACATCCTGGGGATGTAACTGTGACTGACCTTTTGTGCTGGTCTGGTGGCTGGGAGCAAGGACAGAGAGAACCCCATTTGTGGGGAGAATGCTCTGGTGGAGTCTCTAGAGAGCCATGTGAAGGAGCCCCAGGCAGAGGTGAGCAGGCTGTGCAACATCAGGACTGAAGAGCAAGAGATAGATGAGTTGTACAGCAAGGCTTTGCAGCAGAAGAATGAGAACAAGAAGATGGAATGAGAGGACCTGAATGGAGCTGAGTGGAAGGTGGTCGCTTGCAGCTCCAGGCCACATGCTGCAAGGGAAACTTTTCTGGTTCAGCTGTGCAACAGGTATGAGACCCTTGAAGGACTGGTGGAGGAAGGACCAGAGGCACTTGCCCCAGAGGAGAAAAGGAGGCAAGCTCCTGTCCAGAAGAGGGGTAGAGTGGTGGGAGTGGGCAACTTGCTCCTAAGGGGGAAAGAAGGTGCCATCAGCCAGCTGGATCCTTTTGTATGGAAGGTCTGCTTCCTTCCAGGGGCCTATATGCGGGACGTGATGGAGAGGATTACAAACTCATCCAGCCCTCTGACCACTACCCAATTCTGCGCATCCATGTGGGCATGAATGACATGGCCCGGAACAACCCTGGGCAGGTCATGAGTGACTACAGGGCTCTGGGGGCTGGGCTTATGAGGTTTGGAGGCACAAGTGGTTTCCTCTTCCATCCTCCCAGTCAGGGATCAGGGCCCCTAGAGGGACAGTTGTATTGAGGAGGTCAACCAGAGGCTCAGGAGATGGTGCCACAGCAAGGGTTTTGGATTTTATGATCATGGAACATTGTTCTGGGATAGAGGCTTGTTGGGACGATATGATGCCCACCTCATGCCAAGGGGGAAGTAACTGTTTTCTTCCAGGATGACTGACTTGCTGGAGAGGGCTTTAAACTTGGTGTGTTGGGGAATGGGTGTGCAAACAGGAATGCAAGTCAGGGGATAGCCAAGCAGGAAGGATGTAGAGAAGGGCAGTCAGGGAGGTGTTGAGAGGCTGGAACGATGTTGGAGTGGCAGGTAACGGGATTACCAAGGAGGGACTTAAGTGTCTATACACAAACGCTAGGAGTATGAGGAGTAAGCAGGAGGAACTGGCACTCCGGCTAGTAAATAGGGCATATGATCTCATCAGAATATCTTGGTGGGATGCCACGCGTGACTGGGCTGTATGCATGGAGGGCTACAGGCTGCACAGAAGGGATCGGGTAAGGACGAAGAAAGGAGGTGTTAGCTCTCTATGTACAGGGGCAGTATGCCTCCTCAGAGACCCAAATTCATTTGAGAGAAGGGTGACTCAATTCTGTGGGTCAAGATACAGGGGAGGGTGGGACAAGGAGAAGGCCATTTTATGGTAGGCATCTACTACAGACTGCCACACAAGAAGGAGGAGCTAGATCTGTAATATTCCAGAGAACTGGTGGAGGCTACACGTTCAAAGGACATGATTGCCATGGGTGACCTCAATTACCCTGACATCTGCTGGAAGGAGCACTTGTCCAGATCTGACTGGTTACGTAGGTTTTTTGACCTGAGTGGAAGAACTTCATTTAGTACAGGAGGTGAATGGGCAACCAGGGGGAAGTTTTGTTGGATTTGGTTCTAGCCAAAGGAGATGACCTGGTAGGAGATCTGAGGACTGAGAATAATTTGGGAGATATAGTGGCCATGAAATGAAATTAAGTATCTGTCATAGGGCATGGAAGTCAGCCAGTAGGGCAGAGGTGCTTGACTTCAGGAAGGTTGACTTCAATGAGCTTAGGAAAATAGTTGGAGAGACCCTATGGGAAGAGGGATTAGAAGGGAAGAGAGTTCAGGAAGGGTTGTCATTCCTCAAAGGATCAATCCTCAGAGCATAGAAATGGTCCATTTATGTATGCAGGAAAGGTAGTAAAGGGACCATGAAGCCCTCTTGATTTATCAGAAGAGTAAGGAGTGCTTAAAAAGAAAAACAAGGCTTACAGACAGTGGAAACAAGGGGTAGTCACCAAGGAGGAATACGCAAGTATAGCCCATATTTGTAGGGAGAGGATACAGAAGGCAAGAGCGGTGACCAAGACAGGTTGGTGACTGAAATCAAGGACAATAAGAATTCCTTCTTTAGGTATATAGGGAGCAGGAGGAAGACCAAGGGAAATGTTTAGAAGACCAAAGGAGCCTTCCAGAGTAGGCCAGGACAGCTGATAACAGTCAGTCAGGAGAAAGCTGAACACTTTAATGAATACTTTGCATTGGTTTTCCTGCATGCATATGGTGATCACCCACCTGATCGGATACTGGATGGATGCGAGGGAGGGGGAGGTGATTGCTAACCAATGGTCAGTGTCAAACGGGTGAGGGAGCACTTAGAGTGGCTGAATGTCTTCAAGTTGGCAGGACTGGATGGACTACACTCAAGAGTGCTGAGGAAATTGGCTGGAGTCATTGGGGACTGTTGGTGAAGGTATTTGAAGACTTGTGGTACTTGGGAGAGGTCCCAAAAGACTTGAAAAGGGCCAATGCAGTGCAAATCTTTAAGAAGGGGAGGAGGGAGGATCCAGAAAACTATAGGCTGGTCAGTTTGACTTCAAAACAGGGTAACATTTTGGAAAAAAAATATCAGGTCCATTTGTGAGAGACTGGCAGAAGGCATGATGCTGAGGAATAGCTAACATGGTTTCATTGTGGGCAGGTCATGTCTGATTAACCTCGTCTCCTTCTATGATCAAGTATGAAACACTTAGATGTGAGAGAGCTGTTGATGTCATCTACTTGGATTTTAAAAAGGCCTTTGATATGGTTCCCCATGACACTTATAAAAAAAACTGAGGTATTGTGGGCTGGCAGAGTCCACCGTCAGGTGAACTGGGAACTGGCTATGGGGTCAAACCCAGCGAGTGGCAGTGGATGGGTCTGTATCATCATGGTGGGAGGTGGCTAGTGGTGTCCTGCAGGGTTCAGTTCTTAGCCTTGTGCTGTTCAACATCTTTATCAATGATTTATATGAGGATGTGGAAAGCATGATGGCCAAGTTTGCAGACAATACTAAGTTATTGGGAAAAGCGGTATTGCTAGGATGTGGATCCAAGCAGACCCAGACAAGCT